CTAGAACTTGGATTTTATATGATCTAGGAGGAGTTTGTTATAGTGTAAAACCAGTCATTTCATGTTGCCAGCAGGTGGCGCTATAACTTTAACTGAATATTAGCATGTAAACGTGTTCAGGTCAGGGCTGTTATCAAACGAGTGTATATTGAGGCAGATCAGACAATGCATGCCTGAGTTATAACAACTTCCTTTTTCGTGGCGAATCGTCAAAGTTTGAGAGGCCGCCACGGACATGCCCTTCAATGAAAACTCTAGATCTTCACAATTTAATATCACCAAAGCCTTTAAATACCAACATACGTTACATATTCGTTACAATTCAATTCCTGGAAATGGCAGAGCTCGGTTCTTTACAAGCTCTGGATGATTTTTAAAGAGATAACACCAGACTGTATTGCCTGTTGTTTTGATCCATTCTAACAGGAGCACCATGACTGTAACCAAAGCTGATATGTAAAGATTCCTGACTGTACTTCCACACAATTAAACCAGCCCACTAGCAACATGAGCACTAGCGTGACCCCCTAACGTTACCACAAAAGATTTCAAGGAACTTTTCACATTTCTTCAGTTTGCTCCTCCTCAGCCAGCTGTCTCCTCTCCATAGATGCGCTGAGGCTGGTGGCCATATGCTGGCTCTCTGACTTGCCGCAGGCTTTGGAAGAACAGTAGGAGCACAAGAGGAAAACACAGCACTCGAATCTGCATTACTAGTGCAGATAGAGACTGTCTAATGCAGTCAAAACAGCACAGAAATGTAGTATATAGAATGGATGCAACTTCCAATGAAGGATTACAACATCAAACAGCTCTCAGAGCATCCTGATTATTAATATTCAGCATGTCAAACTTTGCAGCGTTGTGAATAATCTCTCGTTTAATGTTTTTACTGACAAATATTACATACTTGGGCTTTTTCAAACAAAGTGACAGTTGAAAATTTCATCAGAGATGCCTTCAAAAAAACAAAAAACAAAAAACAACAACAACTTCACACTGACAGCAACCTCCAGCGACAACAAAGCTGCTTGATTTCCAGAAAGATTATTTTGTGATTATTTCTGTTTATATTCAGCCACTAGTTTCCAGCGACTCTCGGTTAAGCTTTAGTTTTCTTGGACAAGAAATATGCAGCAGAAACAATAAAAATAACATGCGTCTCTCGCCTCTGATTTCCTGTGTAACCATTTATGAAAACATATTGGAGCCTATGGAGGTCTCTAAGAATGTGCATTTAACTGGTCTAGTTTTTCTGTGCAGAAAAGAGGAACTAGAGATGGTGCAGAAAAGCTGACAGAGACAACCCGCCTTCTCCTTCTTCTGTGTTTATAAACTGGGTCTTTAGTCTTAAGAAAACACTTGCAGAGCACCTGGTGTGTTCTCTTGGATAGCATTGTATAACCAATGGGACACATTTGTGCGATCCAGGGCCACAATAGAATTATTAATTTGTATTTAATAAATTACTAATATTTTTTAAATTGATCTCCTCCTGAGTTTGTATTGAACACGCATGGAATTAATTATAAATTCCAACACTAGTTAGTTTGCAAGATATATTGTTCAACCTAAAGTGCATAAATTATTAAATAATTGGGCAAATTAGGTTAAAAACATTCTTATATAATATAGACCTTAAACATATACCTTATAGACCTTAACATATTTTTAAAAATGGAGTACAGGGAGGACAGATGTAAATTAGCTTTATAGCTAACTCTGGCACAACATGTCAAGTTGTCCCTGTATAAATAAGTAAGTAAATATATAAATAAATAATTAAACAAATAAGTAAATAAATAACCAAATAAGTAAATAAACAAATATGCAAATAAATAAATATATAAGTAAATAAATAAAATATTAAATAATTAATAAATTAATTAAATAAATAAATATGTACATAAATAAATAAACGTTTAAGTAAAGAATAAAATAATAAATGAGTAAAAAAATAAATATGCAAATAAATAAATGAATATGTAAATAAATAAGTAAATACATAAAAGAATAAATATGCAAATAAATACATAAATATGTAAATAAACAAGTATATAAATAAATAAATAAATATGTAAATAAATAAGTAAATAAATAAAGTAATAAATAAGTAAATAAATAAAAAAATAAATAAATAAAACTGCTTTTATTCCAGAAAAAAAAAAAACATATTTTCCAGATGAAAAAACACAAAAGAATATGCTGTCAAAAAATCCTTGCCCTTCTAATCATCACTTTTGAAATATTTGAAAAAGAATAAAGATTTTATAGGAGGGCTAATAAGTTTGCAAACAACTATGTGATATCTCTTAAAGCTACAGGCATTTTTACAGCCACCAAAACAATAGGCCATTCAATGTAAACTCTCATGCTATCAACCAACACGTGACCTTTACATTCACAATCAAACTAGCGCAAAATAATGTAAAGAACTGACAGGCTTCACCATTGGGTTTCTTTTAATAGCTAACAGGAGCCTTATGTTTGGAGACACTGTGGACATATTTTTAAAAATATTAATATGTCATCTGGGATAAAAACTAAAATTCTTATGCTAGGGGTGGATTTTTGATCACTAGGGTTTCAAATGAAAGAAAACCCCACAGCAAAAGTAGACACAGATCACACTGAGTTCACAAATCCTTCCCTGACATCTGGATGCTGGTCACTTGAAATATCAGAATCAGACTCATTTAAAATAATAAATATTTTCAAATCTGAGATGCTATGAAATGACATTTTTATAAGATACTCAATTTTCCATTTCACATGTTCCTTATTAACATGATAGCCTCCTTCCAAGAGACATGCAATCATTTCTTCTTCTTCTGTACTGCACATTAAATCATTCAAATTCACTCAATCATTCAGTTCACCATTACTGCTGTTTTCGCCTCACGGTGCTAATAAAAAGCAAATCAGACGTATCCTGTTAGGGCCTCTGAGGATAAACATGTTGTGACCCACAGGAAAAAAAACAACTACAAATGAATATTGATTGTTTCTCTGGCAGCTTCCTTGATGCACAATGGAGAGTTTTATATACTGGTATTGGCACATATATAGATGCATTGAAACACAGCAAAAAGAATAGAGAAAAGAACACAGAAAGAAAGAGAGATGAGACAAAAACAGGCAGAATTGCAGAAATGCAGACAGACTGAATGTCAAACTGAGAGATTGGTAAATGGACAGATACAAAGACAAATAAACTTCCTAGGTTTACTCTTATAAAAGATGATGGATGAATGGATAGATGGATAGATGGATAGACAGACAGACAGACAACCAGACAGACTAGATAGATGATGATAGATAGATAGATAGATAGATAGATAGATAGATAGATAGATGATAGATAGATAGATAGATAGATAGATAGATAGATAGATAGATAGATAGATAGATAGATAGATAGATAGATAGATAGATAGATAGATAGATCGATAGATAGATAGATAGATAGATAGATAGATAGATAGATAGATAGATAGATAGATAGATAGATAGATAGATAGATAGATAGATAGATAGATAGATAGATAGATAGACCGAAATGCAACCTCCAGTGGACAGTAGCAGACTCCAAAATGAGATGCAGGTTCAGAGTTCCACATGAGGTTATTAATTAGCAAATGATTTAAATATTACAAATGTAAACATTATGTGAGCAGTTTAAAAGATATAAACACAGCAAGATTTCTAAATATTAACAGGATATTTACACATCCCATCCCTGCACTGTATGAAATAATCCTTATAAATTTGTACAATAAACTTAGCAGTATTAATACATCAACTGATGTCTATATAATATATGCCTATCAGCAACATTGCTTGTATATTGTTTTTCATTTTTTGCCTCAGTTTTTATTTGGTTTATTCCATCTCTTAATATCTGGCAAATAAGAATTTACCTTCATTTTAATATTTAGCAGGTGTTTTCAAATAAAAAGGCAACGGTAAAAGATATATAGATAATATATAACGTTCACATTTCTATATATATGATTCGGTTTCTAGAACATTAATATTTTATAACAGCAAATTCAGTAGATTAACTTGACAACATGCCGAAATTCAAAATGTCAGACATCCTTACAATCAAATTTAAATAATGTTACAGGATAACCAGTGCCTTAATTGACCAAAACCATTTTTTTGGAAATTTTATTACAAGTGTAATACCTTTTTTTTTTTTGGGGCTCAAGTCTCGTTCATTAACACCGAGGAGGTGGGCTTTATGACTTGTACTGCTGCCAGCCCCCAGGAGGCGATCTAACGGCCAGTACCTTCTTTCAAAAAGAGGTGTGAGACACACTTGTTACATATGTACTGTTAATGCACTAAAAATGCAATACTTTGCAAAAAGTGCATTTATTTCTCTGTTTTCTGTCAAATTTTTATTTTTTTAATGAAACCTATCTGACATAAAGTGGCGATAAAATATAAACACGTGAAGACAGCATAAAATTATTTCTTTTTCTGTTTTAAAGTAGAAACTTGGTTCTCTCTTATTAAAAGCAGAACTTTAAAAAATGTTGACAGAGAAAGATTTAAAGTTACAGAAAAAAAAGAAAGAAGGAAGAAAGGAAGGAAGGAAGGAGGGAAGGAAGGAAAGAAAGAAAGACAAAGAAAAGAAACAAAGAAACAAAGACAAAGAAAAGAAAGAAAGAAAGAAAGAAAGAAAGACAAAGAAAACAAAAGAAAAAAGAAAGAAACAAAGACAAGAAAAGAAAGAAAGAAAGAAAGAAACAAAGACAAGAAAAGAAAGAAAGAAAGAAAGAAAGAAAATAATGATGGAACAACCAATAAACCAACATAAGGAACAACAGAACAACTGACATCCAGACAGAAACACTGACAACATGACGGTACAGCAGACAGAGAGACAGACAGGCCTGCAAACTAGCAGAATGACAGTCAGATAGTCAGAAAGGCATAAAGATGACAGAAAGACAGACAGACAGATGTATAAATTGATAGATCAAACTGACCTGTGCTGCTCTGGATGGTTCTGACAGTAGTGGTGGTCCTTGGTGGGGAGGCCGGGAGCAAAGGGCTGTCGTCGTCCTGCGAGCAGCCCTGGTCAATGGCACGCACGTAACTGTGACTCCTCATGCGGAAACACCCGGGCATGGGCAGGTCCAGGGCGTCCACAGCATGAGACTCCATTTCATTAAACACACTCTCACACATGGCCTCAATCTGCCCGTTCACCTCCACCTCACTCACCTGCAGAATGGCAGAAGAGACGAGAAGAAGACAGAGAAAGACAAGAAATCTGAATTAGAAAAGAGAGGAAAAACAGAGCTCAGGGGAAAGAGTGGGTATCATTCGTCCAATGAGTTTTAGGAACCACTTGCCATGGGTTACATTAGTTCAATATTCTATACTTCAACTGAAATGGGATATTAAGTATAGGGCGGAGCTTTCTTTAGCACATCATTCCCCCACAGCGAACTAACGGTTAGAGAGGGAATTAATATGCAGTTGCTATGCAAGCCCTCAGGTTTGCGTCAACAGAAGGACAGCCACTCCAAACATGGAAGCAAATAGTTAGACTTTCATTGAAGATCACCAAAACAAACTTTTTTAAAAGGGGATTTTAATGCACTGATTTATTTATTTAATTACCTTAAGAATAGCAATGTGAGGTAGTAAAATGAAAAAAATAAAATAAAAATTAAATTATGATTTCAAATAAACTTTAAAACAGCAAAAAAGTTCAACGAGTGAACAATTTTTAAACAGGGTGCAAAAACAAAAAAAGGAATGGAAAATGAAGCAGGAGATTGCAGAGAAGTCATTAGGAGAAAGTGAGAGACACACAAGCAAGGGCAAGAGGAGGAAGAGTCAAAAAGGAAACACGGTAAGGCTTGAATGACAAGCTAATTGATAGCGTAAGACACACAGTTTAGGAGGAAATCCTCAAGTGGGGTTTTCTGACATAGGGGAAGATGGAGAGAGTGAGTTAGCATCAACATATTCATTAGTGTTGATTTGAACAGAAACTGAGGGTGGATGAGAGTGGGAGATTAATGAAGACGTGATAAGGTGGAACTGTAGAAAGTGGAGGACTGGGTATTTTGGACAAGCCAACAGCTCGACACTCTGTCCTGATCACCCATAAGGGGTAAATGGGCATATTCATTTCATAATGTGAAGGTCTTATTTTGATGCATGCTTTTGCTTGAAGAAATACCAGAACTTTGTCTATCTTCAATCTTCACTTAAACTATTATTTGGCTTTGGGATCAAAAAACAAGTACCTCCACATAAACAAAATAAACAAAAAATAAAAAAGTAAACCAATATCTTACAGACAGTTATACACTAGCTATGTTTCCACTCAGCAAAAAACTGTAATATCGCATAAATTATTTGTGAGTAATGAATGGTTTCCATCCAATGAGTCAAAAAGCACAAAATCATCACTTCCAGTAAAACTGCCACCAGATATCAAAAATAAAAACGCAATTTGCTGTGGTAGCAGAAGCTGCGTGAGACTTTTTCTTATATAATTACGTGTGCCTCAGAAGATGATGCTGACACGCAATGAACGTGGGGTGGCTCTTTGGGAGCATAGATGCTCAACACAGTTCTGGGAGGTGATAATACTGAACCACTGCAATGATGGACTTTGGTTAAGGCATTTTAGAATGACCAAAACAACACCTCAGATGTTTTACAATGTAGCTGGCCCACTGGTTTGTCCATTAAGGCTCTCCATGGCACCTTTTTATTATCACTTGATCTCTTATAACAAAATCATATGACTTTTTCATTGAAATTTATGTGCATTTTCTTCTTACTGAAAAAAATATTTATCCCATTCAGTTGTGCGCATACATTCTTTATTTGGATTTTCAAAATGTATGTGTATCTGGGCATTTCCATCAAGCATTCTTTATGCAATATTCCAAAATGCACATGAAAATAGTTGGGTGGAAACAAAGCTACTGTTTAAAAGATAGTTTGACGTCCTCTACTACCAAGTACCTGGAAGTAATCACCTACATGACAAAAATACTATAGTAACTTACAGTTAATACTATAGTAATTTTGAACCATACCAAGTACTTCAAATACTTTAATAACTTTTAGTAGTTCTACAGTTGCCGTGACAAATTATATATAAACACAGTTGAAGTCAGAATTATTATTAGCCCCCTTGAATTATTAGCCCCTCTGTTCATTTTTCCCCAATTTCTGTTTAACGGAGAGCAGATTTTTTCAAAACATTTTTTAAACATAATAGTTTTAATAACTCATTTCTAATAACTGATTTATTTTATCTTTGACATGATGATGGTAAATTACATTTGACTATATTATTCAAGACACTTCTATACAGCTTAAAGTGACATTTAAAGGCTTAACTAGGTTAACTAGGCAAGTTAGGGTAATTAGGCAAGTTATTGTATAAGGACTGTTTGTTCTGTAGACTACGTGAAAATATAGCTTAAAGGGGCTGATAGTTTTGACCTTAAATGTTTTTTTAAAAAAAACTGTTTTTATTCAAGACAAACTAAAACAAATAAGACTTTCTCCAGAAGAAAAAAAATATTATCAGACATACTGTGAAAATGTCCTTGCTCTGTTAAGCATAATATGGGAAATATTTAAAAAAGAAAAAAATAGATCAAAGGGGGATTCATAATTTACTGACTTCAACTGTACAGTTGAAGTCACAATTATTAGCCCCCCTGAATTATTAGCACCCCTGTTTATTTTTTTCACCAATTTCTGTTTAATGGAGGGAAGATTGTTTCAGCACATTTCTAAGGATAATAGTTTTAAAAACTTATTTCTTATAACGGATTTATTTTATCTTTGCCGTGATGACAGTAAATAATATTTTACTTGATATTTTTCAAGACACTTCTATACAGCCTAAAGTGACATTTAAATGCTTAATTAGGTTAATAAGGTGAACTAGGCAGGTTAGGGTCATTAGCAGGGCCAGACAGAATCTGCGGACGTTTTTTTCCTATTTCTGCTGAGAATTTTGGGAAAAATCTGTGGATTTCTGCGAAATTATTTTGGGAGTATCCAGTGGAGTATCATAAATAAAACCTTAATATATGAAATAAAAAGTAATAAATTACTGAATAAAAACTGAATTAATTTAGATTTACACATTTACTCAAGTAAATAAACAAAATTAGTGATGGGCTAAAAATCTGCAGAAATCTGCGGAAAATCTGCGGAATTCTGCGCGCGCAGATTCCGTGTGGGCCTAGTAATTAGGCAAGTTATTGTATAACGATGGTTTGTTCTGTAGATTATTGAAAAAAAATTAACTTAAAGGGGCAAACAATTTTGTCCCAAAAAGGTTTTGTAGAAAATTAATAACTGCTTTTAATCTAGCCAAAATAAAACAAATAAGTGTCATAATATTATTAGACATACTGTGAAAATGTCATTGCTCTGTTAAACATCATTTGGGAAATATTTAAAAAAATAAAATAAAATCAAAAGGGGGCTAATAATTCTGACTTCAACTGTATATATATTTACACGCACACATTATACTACAATACACAACAGCTTATTGTAGTAAAAATTAAAGTATATTACTATACAGTTTTTATTAGCTTTTCAGTTCACTATAGTTATTCACTGCAATATGCTGTAGCATTTCTAGCAGTTATAAATACAGAAATATATACAGTATATTACAATTTACATTATAGTAAATTACTATACATTACTCTGTTTTGTCATGTAGGCAGTACATACTATAATAAAATAACGATATGCCCTTGAGTACCAAAAATAATTACAACAAAATAATAACAATGGCATCAACACTAACTAGCATGTGGCCTCTACAAAGTCTTTACAGGAAGTGTTTTTGTTTGCTTGTGAGTAGACCATTTTGTTGTTGGTCTTATATTAGAGAGCACACATGTCAAATGAGAGTGATGTCATATTTGCCATTTTTTAATTAGCATGACAAAAGTGTGCTTGGGGACAAAGTGTGCCTCAGATGGATGAGTAACTGTCTGATGAATGCCACCCCATTTCTACAAAACATGGAGAATGTTGGACATTTGTGATTGAACACTGTTATGAGAATGGTTCAAATGCATTTCATTGGTGGATGAATCAGAATTCAGTTTTATGGATTTAATTAGATTTCCTGGATTATACTGGAGTGTTTCAGGCCTTCCTCCCCCTGCACCCCGCTACCACGGTGTGTTTGGGGGTGAGCACAAACCTGGCTGATGGTGCTCATAGCCCTCATGTAGCTCTCGTTGCGCGAGCGATATTGGGGAGAGGCTAGCAGAGCTTTGGGGTCCAGGGTGTCCAGGCTCCTATTGATGGAAACTTCACTCACCGCCCGCAAGTAGCTGTGACTCCGGATCTGCAGTTTTGGAGAATGTTCCTGGGAGATCCTGCAGGGGGGCAAGACAGAAGATATTTCATTACTGTATACTCTGGAAACAACAAGTCACAAATTTAAAAACTTTGTTTAGAAGAAAAAAAAAAACCTAATGTCACATTGTTGTTACATTTCTCAATGTAGCAAAAATGTTATAGATTACAATTATAAAAAAGAAACATAGGCGTACAATTATCTTATAGAAACTAATGTACCATTTCCTAAAAACAAAGTTTGTTATAAACTGGCACGGCTGAACAAATATATTCAAAAGACAAATGAAATAGCATGGAATGCTTACAGTACATGTCTCTTACTTTGATACAATTCAGATGCGTGTATTCTATGTATGTGTGTGTGTGTATATATATATATATATATATATATATATATATAATTAAAATATTCCCCAATGTACACCCCTGATAAATCTCTCATTGAAATTAATATTTTCCATAGGAAGTTTTACAATATTATATCTGTGCATATACATTAGATTAATCAGTACTGAAGGCAAATCTGGAGCTGATCTTACAAAATAACTTATGATAATGGTCCAAAATTAGTACACACATATTTATATGTTAGGGAATTTTTATTTTTATTTTTTAAAGAGCAAAATTTAAGTAAAAAAAAAAATTTATATAATTGTGTTGAAATTTTATAGTTTTTATTTTTGTATCCAGTATTTCGCATGAATGTAAACGTATAATCGTTATATTTCTAAAGATGTTCAGTGAATAGAATGTTATTTAATAAATATGTATTTTATTACACATATTTAATTAATCTGTTTTGTCAAATGCATCAAAGTATATGACCTATATTAACCGAGAAACAAATAAAAATGTTCATTTTCAAAAAGGGAGTAGAACTATGCTTACTTTTGTAAATGTATAGATACTTTTGAGATGAAACTTTTTATTCAACCAGCATTTTTTTACAGAAAATGACACAGGCTTTTCCAAAAAGATAATAAGTGGATTAAACAGTTTCACCTTATAATAAACGTAATAGCAAATATTGTGAAAGATAGCTATGCTGTTAAACATTACTAATTTAGGAAAAAAGTAATTGTATGTTATTATATTGTTAGACCATGTGTATTAAACAATTTATTTTTGTTTAATAATAATAATAATAATAATAATAATAATAATAATAATAATAATAATAATAATAATAATAATCTTTCATAAACATTTTGTTTAATCCTCAAATTTAGAAACTCAGAATGAACTTTGCCAAAAAATATTATTTTTTTTATGAATTTGCTGCATACAGATAATCACAAATGAGCATAAACAAGAAAACTCATAGAAGCTTTAATTACAAACAAAACATTTTAATTTAACTACTGCCAACAACATAGAAGGTTTATAAACAGAACAAATTAAGTAAAAGAAATTACACATTTACACATAATAAATAAATCAATAAATCATAATAATAAATCAATGAGTAACAGAGGAAACAATGTAAAGTATTTACATTGTAGTAATTTGTTTATTAATAATAACATGTTTTTTTGTGTGTGTGCTCGCAATAACAATAAAGGACAACAACTATCATAGTTTTGCCAATACTTTGTTATTCTTAAATATTCTCAAGAATAATTAAGAATAACAAGACTTCAGATGTCATGATGAATTTCATTCAACCAAATGTGCAGCAATCTTTTTGACTGCTCATCTTAACGCCATTCACTCAGACCTCGACAACATGTGTCCAGTGCACAGGAGCCTTTATATAGATATATTATAGATGCAGCTCTTTAAATAGATAAAGAGACGACTCCATCAGGTCAGTCAGGCATAAACCAGGTAGAGCGAGTGCAAGGAGAGAAAACAGCTAAACTCACTTAAGTCAGCCCACGCTCATGCCCGACACTGGCGCTGACACTTTGCTGACAGGCATCCGCATCAGCAGTATGGGAATTAGTGGAAGCTCCGACATTGGCGAACATCTCCCACCCTCCATCTGCATGGCTTCACACATACATAATAAGTGAACACAGCAACTCCTTATGGAGCACTGCGGTCTAAAAATGCCCTGGGGCCTCTACTGGAGAACAGAATGGCTAAAATTCACAAGGGGAACAACATCCCCCATGGTGAAGCTGGCTTTGGGGAACTGGTTATGCATGATGCCATGGTTGCGGAATAAGCTGATAAGTTTCCGCCTCAGTGTCACGATGGTCTTGACGGATTGGTCGCTGCATGGTTTGTTAATTACGTCAGCCATTCTGAGCCTGGCGTACTTTCTGCTGCAGTGGCAGATCCCTGGGGCATCTACTCTGAGACTGTCTATTTTCATGCTTCACAAAGATACCCAATCGCATCTGATGACTAATGTACATCTGAGTTATTCAGTGTTCTGAGCTATAAAATAGGCAGTGCTTAAAGGGACAGTTCACCTAAAACTCAAAATTTACTCAACGTTTACTCACCCTCAAGTCATTTAAACCTTAAAGACATCTTTTAAAAAAGAAGATATTTTGAAGAATGTTGGAAACTGGTAGCTGTTGACCTTTATAGCGGGGAAAAATATTATGAAAGTCAGTGGATAATTGTTTCCAACATTATTCAAACTATAAAGAGAACAAAGGGAATTGGCCTTAAAGGGTTCATTTAACCAAATTAAGATTTACTACATTTAACCTAAGAGCTCCCTCATCCTCCATAGACAGCAAAGGTTCCTGACTCAAAAAAAAAAAAAAAAAAAAGAAACAAAATAAACCTCAAACAGACCATATGGCCTCAGAGGTTCAGTCGGAATACTAGCAAGCTACAAGAATACTTTTGTGCGCACACAATACAAAAACAACAGCTTTATTCAGCAGTTTCTTCTCCTCAGTGTCAGTATATTGTGCATGTTCACAAGCACTGTGCAGTGGCATACAACGTACCCAGTGGAAGCTTACATGCAATTTCTTATGTTTAAAACAACAATGCTTCTGAGGTAATTTTTCAGAGGTGGCATCAAGCAGGACACATGAATGTGTTCTCTATGACACTGATGAAAAGAAATTTAATGTTATTTTTGATTTATGCATTTAAAAAATTGTTCTTGTAGCTTGATGATATTCCAATTGAACCACTGGCACCTGGTCTGTTTTGAGGAAGTTTTTTGATATCTGCAGCGCATTTTCTATTTGTATTTGCATTTTAAGGATTTGCAACTTTGTGCTGTCAAACTGATGAAGGTGTTTTCTTTTTTTTTTGTATTTGCATGTGTTTTCTAAAGTTGCAGCACGTTGAGTTGTCTTGGCCACTTTTGATTTCACCAATTTGTTTTCAGATGAATGAAGGTTTCAGGGATTTTAATTTCATGTTTAGATGAACTAACAATTTAACTATGGTGCAATAGAGGTGAAATTTGGGTATTATTAGCGCAGGTTTGGCAGTATGTATGGGTTAACCTATAAGGGTTGGTTCATCAAATGATATTGTTATGTATACAGTATATACACAGGGCTTGACACCACCAACATGCCAAACGTGGGTGGATTTCAGCTGTGGCTGGTTGGACAGCCACCTTCACAAGCCACTTTGGGTGGTTGAAAATAATTATTAAATTGCCAGAGCAGCCTCATGACTAAAAATTAGAACTTTAGCTTTAGACCGTTTGTCAACATGCTTGCAAATGAGATCAGCAAGACTGATACCCTATCATGTTAGCAAAGAAAGCAGGTGATTATCGAATGAGAGGATGATCAGACGATTGGTAAGACTGGCTCTCCTCACTCACTGACTAGTGTTGCGCACACAGCTGATGCAATGCGGGCGAGTGTTAAAAGCTCCCACGTCCTTTCGCGAAGCAACCGGGCCTGGAAACGCAACTGGTACGATTGCATACCTTACTGCTTTTAAGAGCTTCAGATATTTTTTGTAAGCACCAGCATTTGCTGCTTTCGCTTTAACCATTCTTTGAAAAGATGATTAATGGGCCCAACTTTTACTGTGTGCGCACGCCCATCTATCACTTATATTGTCTTATTTCGTTATTCCTTGAAAATTCGTGCAAAATAAAAACTAACTGCAATGTGAAACTATGAAGCCACAGCCCATTTGCTCATGCTTATTGAGTAAGGTCATTCACAACACACGTGGAAAAAACTAAATTGTGGCTAGTGAAAATGGCGAGTGGCTAGGGATCAAAAAGTTAATGTCAAGCCCTGTATACACATATGTATGTATGTATGTATGTATGTATGTATGTATGTATGTATGTATGTATGTATGTATGTATGTATATACACATACATCCATGTACATAGAATCAAAATATTATTTTAAATAAAAGTACAATAGCAGTAATATAAAGTGGGACCAGAAACAGAAACTAAAGTAGGTTTGTAACAAGAAAAAGGTGAATAAATGATGACAGAATAAATGTTTTGGGTGAGCTATCCCTTTAAAAGCAAAGAACGAGCTCTATAAATAAACAGTCACTTACTATTATTAATCATAAAGTTAAAGGTCAAAGCACTGCCCCCCTGGCATATAGTCAAGGCATTAGACGGTTTGACGGATTACGAAAACAAACCTCACTTGCACATGCAGATGTAACTCTGCCATTTCATCGTCAATAAACCGATAAAACCATCAAAATGCGGGATTGAGGAAATTCCACAAGATGAAATATTTATGTGCACTCGTAATGCCAGAAACAGTATTACAAATCTGCAAATCCTCCAATCCTTGTCTGGGATTTTCAGTCTGCTTAGGGGGGAATCTCCAAGAGCGTTTGAAGAGCTTGAGCAGATATGAATCTGAATTGGAAGAAAATGAATTGCACTGCCTGACATGTGGGATTGACAAGACAGCAGTGTTAATCTCGATAGAGAAATCATTGAAAAAAAATGTTAACAAGGGGTTTTTGCTGAGATAAACAATGTGCACAATAATGATAAGTATGTTACGTTTAATAATAATAAAATAAAATAAAATACAGCCGATAGAAACATTTTTCTGCATTTACTCTATTTATTTGGTATGGGTTTGAGTAAAA